TTTCTTCTTCGCGCATACCGTATTAGACAACCATTCTGGGAACTGTATCTCTCGAATGGCGTCGGCCTTCAGGAGTTTGTCGATTTCCTCGTTGACCGCGCTGGCGTGATGCGGGGCCATGCGTCGTGGCCTCTATTTGACTGGCTTGTGCGACGGGTCAACATGCAGCCTGTGTGTGATTATCTCGGGGTCTACCCCCGTCATTTTCATTACGTTCCACGCGAACACGTCTGTATTTCCCCTTAGGAACTCGATCATCTCCTCCTGTTCGGTTGTGGGCATCGAGGTCCCAACTAAGAAATATCTCTCTTCTTCTCCCTCCACCAAGGGCACTTTCCGGAGGTCTTCTACTGACCGCTCAGTTGGGTCTATCCGGGGGGTCATCCATTCCTGGACGCCCGGACTGTGATTGCTATTTTTCCATAATCTCTTCCAGTGCTCGCCCCTTCTCCTGGCTGAACGCCCCGGCTCGAACGGCTGAATAAAAACAATTTTTCGCGGACGCTTGGTCCCCCCGGATCTCCATGATACCTTCTGGCGTGGCGAATTTTAGTTTCTGGTGGTAAGTGGAGTGCACCGCTCCCAACGCATGCAGCCATGTTCGCCCCATAATCACGTTGTAGGGAGAGTCCGTATCGATCACGACAAACTCGGTGTTGATGACGAAGGGACCCGTGATAATTGGCAATGTGATTTTCCCCACGGGTAGGGCGAACGAGCCGTTGAATCCGATGAGGGGTGTCCTGACTTTGGTGAGGTCTTTGGGGCCAAGACCCATCCGTTTTAAAGTTTCGGAGTACATCACTTCCGAGGAACTTCCAGAGTCTATCAACACCCTTTTGACGTCGAATTTTCCCATCCTCAGGGTCAAGACAAGGGCGTCGTTATAAGGAGTCACTACGCCTGTTAAGTCCGCGTCGGAGAATGTAATGTCAAGCTCACCCGTCCTGGCCCTTTTACTAGGTGGCCCTACATCAACCTCGGCTACCTTCCTCGTAAAAGCTACCCTCTTGAGGTCGGACTCGAGTTCCTTGGACGTAGGGCGATCCAAGGGACATATATGGATGACATCTATGATGTTGTCCGGCTCCTCAGTCGGGACNCTACCCTCTTGAGATCGGACTCGAGTTCCTTGGACGTGGGGCGATCTAGCGGACATACATGGATGACATCTATGACGTTGTCCGGCTCCTCGGTCGAGGCAAGGGTGTGTCTCTCTTCTGGCCTGGACTCTATGTACTCTTTCAAGTATCCGTCTCGGACCAATCTTTCCAAGAACGATTTGTACACCCTGCAGCTTTCGGTGCGATGCCCGAAATCCCGGTGATAGGAGCACCTAACCTTTTGATCACGGATGGAGGGGTCGCTCTGCATCCTGGGCGGTCATTTGAAAAACGGCTCGTGCTTGATCTTATGGAGCAACTTGAAGATGGGTTCCTTGAACACAGTGTGAACTCCTTTGGACGAACCCCTTAGAGGGGGTAACAATCCCTTTCGGGGAATATCTTCCCGCTCCCTCTCTTTTCTCTTAGATTGGAGGGCTCGGCCTTTGCTGCTTCCGATCTCGTCTTCAACCCTCGAGTATTTGTTTATCCGGGCCATTAGTTCCCCCATATCCGAGGGAGTCTTCTTGGTCAGGGATCGGTACAGGTCCGTGTCCCTTGC